AGGGGAAACCTAACCCTAAAGTGTTGTACTCACTAAGGAGTGACCCTACTGTAGCCTAGAGATACAATTGTAATTTGACAGTGTAGGGTCTTGGTGGTATACCCTCCTTTGTCCACCTTTCCTACCTATTTCTTGTAACTCTCTCATATTGTAAACCCCTCTTTTGTTTGGCCAACACCTCTCCTTCCTAGCTCCTAGGGTTTCCATGTCTCCTAAGTTCTAACTACCTCTCTTGACATGGTATAGAGCAGTAAAACGGGACCTACTTTTTTCACGGAACATGGGCCCGCCCATACTACAGCGCGAAATGCAATATATTTTTTTTCGTCGCTGGTCGCGCCCGAGGCGCCTGCCCGTCCCGTCCCGTCGTGCTCGTCGCGCTCTGCCTGGTCGCGCCCGAAGCGCCTGCCCGTCCCATCCCGTCGACGCCCTGCGCTCTGCCCGATCTGCCCGTCGCGTCCCCCGCTCGTCGCGCTCGTCGCGCCCGTCACCCTGCCCGTCGTCAGCGCCAGCGCCAGCGCGGACTGCCAGCGTCAGCGCCAGCGCCACGCGGACTGCCAGCGTCAGCGCCAGCGCCTGCCACTGCCGCCAGCGCCAGCGCGGACTGCATGCCCTAGTGCCAGCGCCAGCGCCAACGCCGACGCGTGCGCCAACGCCAGCGCCAACGCCGGCCGCTGCTCACGCCGCCCCCCCTTCCTCCCTTCCGCGGCTTCCGCCGTGGGGGGGGGGGGGGGGGAGATGTGGGGGTGGCGAGTGTGAACCGCCAGCAATCCGTCCCTCCCTTCCCTCTTCCTCTCTTCCTGCAGCACTAGTTGCTGTAGGGGGGGGGGGGAAGGGAAGAGGTTAAGGGGGGAGGAGAGGGAGGTTAAGGTGTTAGAATCTAGCAGCAGGAATGATTGAACTATGAAAGTATTGGGTACAAATATGAAACCCTAAAAGGGGTTGTACCCCATATTGGCTACCCCACTACAGCCTACACATATATAACATGTATATACTTTGACACACCCCCATAATCAAAGTGGGGGAGAGCAAGGGGTCACAACACCAGTCAAGAGAAGCAAAGCAAGCTCAGGGTGGATCACAACGTCACCACACACACTGAGCACAAGCAAAGGGCCACAAGGCCAGTTCACATGCAGAGGTATATATGCAACAACAACAGCACAGTGATCTCTACCTAGCAGAGCAAGCATGCAGGTATATATATAGATCACAGTACAAGCAAAGTCTACAGCAAGTGAGGAAACGTGGGCACAAGGCCTAACAGAGTGCTGAAACGCTGATGATCACCAGACGGAAGCGCCTTGGTGAATATATCAGCAGTGTTGGCCCGAGTGGCCACGTGAGCAAAACGAAGCTGACCACGCTGCTGCAACTCTCGAGCTAGGAAGTAACGCAAAGCGATGTGCTTCGTTCTGTGCTCCAGTCCGTGCTCCTGACACAAGGCAATGGCGGCCTTGTTGTCGACGTACAGCACTGGAGGAGAACGAGGCCGCTCTCCCAAGTCGGGTCAGCAGGTAGGTGAGCCAGCATAACTCCTGTGCAGCCATGGCTGTGGCGTAGATCTCAGCCTCACAACTGGAGCTGAGAACTGAAGACGAGCATGTAGAACGCCAAGAAACCGAACCAGAGCCAAGGCTGAAGGTGTAACCCTGTGACGACCGCTGCGTAGCCTGGTCGTCAACCCAAGAAGCGTCTGAGTGCCCAGTGAGGACAACGTCGCTCCGTCCTCCAAGCACGAGCCCCATGCCCGATGTACTGCACAAGTAGCGTAGTACCCTCTTAGCAGTATCCATGTGCACCTTTCGGTGCCGACCAGCAGCCACGTAGCGAGCCAGAAGGCCAAGAGGGTACGCAAGGTCAGGACGAGTGCAGGTCATCAGGTACATGAGGCAGCCCACTAGCTCTGGGTAAGGACCACTCGGCTCTACGGACTCGTCCGAAGGTGGACCTGAGAGCGAGTGACCGGTAGCCAGAGGAGTGGCCTGTGCCGAGGACCAGGTGAAGCCGAAGCGCTGAAGGACCTGCTGCACCATGTGTGAATGAGTGAGGGTGATGGTGCGGCGTGCTCTGTCCCGGGTGATCTGCAAGCCAAAGTAACTGCGCAGCTCACCCAGGTCTGTACACGTGTGTCTCTTCTGCAGCTCCGACTTCACCAGGGCGAGAGCCTCAGTTTCAGCAGTGGCAAAGACCAAGTCGTCGACGTACACGAGGATGTAGAACGGCGGCATCGAAGTGTCGGTGCGCAGAAACAGCGACGGGTCAGCAGTTGACGGAGAAAACCCAAGAGCCGCAAGTGTCGTCCTCAGTGTGTTGTGCCACTCACGTGGTGCCTGGCGGAGACCGTAGACCGGCCGCCGGAGGCTCCACTGGGTACCAGGAGGGAACGACCCAGTGAAGCCAGGTGGGCGGCGCAGCCAGATCTCCCCGTGCAGGCTGCCCTGTAAGAAAGTTGTGCTGAAGTCAAGAGAGTGAAGCTCGTAGTCACGCTGAGCGGCAACGTGCAGCAGCACCCGAAGAGTGGTCATCTTCGGGGTGGGGGAGAAGGTCTGGAAGAAGTCAACTCCCTCTCGCTGACTGAAACCTCGAGCAACGTAACGAGCCTTGAAGACAGGCGGAGAACCTGGCGGCCGCTTCACCCTGAAAATCCACATGCCACTGACGATGTTCGCCCCAGGAGGGGGAACCTCATCGACGTAGGTGCCTGTGGACTTCTAGGATGCCATCTCTGCATCCATGGCTGTCTGCCACCGAGAGGAGTACTCACCCGCGATCGCCTCAGCGTAAGAGCGCGGGGTCGGGATGTCTGGAGCATCCGGGTCTCCCTTAGGGGCAAGCAGCATGGACACGAGATGAGGCGCAGCGGCTGCAAGACACTCAAGGTCCTCCTGCCTGTCCTCAAGGACGTCCGTGCCAAGAGCACACTCACCCCCGACGGACGGAGGACAGACAGACTCAGACTCAGCAACAAGACTAGCGGCGTAGTCTAGACGACAGGCAGCAGCAAAGTCAACAAGCTCAGCGACTAAGGCAGACGCAGCAGCAGACTCAAACGACGGGTCAGTGACAACAGTGGCTTGCAGAAGCGTGACACTAGGGTGCTCAGCACGAAACCGGTCAGACTCGGGGTCCGCAACGACAGGCACAGAAGACGCAGGAGGAGACGGCAGAGGAACACGCTGCGGAGGAGAGGAAGGACGACGGACTACGAGGTGGGTGTCGGGGACAGCCGGCTGACGCGGACGAGGAACACGACGACCGGAACAGACAGGCGAGACAGGACGCGACGCAGGCTCACGACGCTCAGTGAGACCCCCTGGCTGCTCAATGTAAGGAGGAGGAGCAGGCAACGGTGAGCCAGGCTGTAACGGAAGACCAGTAGACGAAGGGAGACTAAGAACATGGCGAAGCACAGAGTCAGGTGGTGGCTGAGACGACGGAGACGGTGGAGCGAAGAACAGGCGCGGCTGTGCAGTGCCACCAGCACCAGCAGCTCCAGTACCTCCAGCAGCTCCAGAACCCTCAGCGCCAGCTCCTCCAGGACCAGCTCCACCACCAGCAGCACCCCCAGAACCGGCACCTCCAGTCCCAGGGTCTCCAGCCTCAGTGTCTCCAGTAGCAGCACCCCTAGATCCAGGGTCTCCAGCAGTAGAACCCTCAGGCTCAGCACCTCCAGCCCCAGCAGCTCCAGTACCTCCAGTACGAGCACCTCCGGGATCAGCACCACTCCCAGCTCCAGTGACGTCAGCAGAAGTACCTCCAGCGGCAGAGCCCCGAGCTCTAGAAGCGCGAGCCTGACGGCGACCGTACCAGTCGTGCAGCTGCTGTGAGGTGAGAGGCACACGCGGACGAAGGCGGCTACTCCAAGGAAACCGCTCAACAGCAGACTCAGAACCCTCAGCACCAGCACCCGCAGCAGCTCCAGAACCTCCAGCGCCTGCACCCTCAGCAGCTCCAGAACCTCCAGCTCCAGCGCCACTAGCGTCAGCACCTCCAGCAGCTCCAGAACCTCCAGCTCCAGAACCTCCAGGTCCAGCACCCTCAGCAGCTCCAGAACCTCCAGCAGAAACAACTCTAGTAGCAGAGTCACCAGCTCCAGCGCCTCCCGCAGCAGGGCCCCTAGCTCCAGCGGCGCTCTGGCCTGACGGGCCTGCAGGGGCGGCGCGCGGGCCTTACGGGCCTGCAGGGGCGGCGCTCTGGCCTAGGGCAGCAGTAGGCAGCGCGAGGGCTGCAGGACGGCGCGCGCAGCGCAGCACGTCACAAGGCAAGGCAGGCAGGCAGGCAGGCGCAGGACAACACGTGGGGTAGCGCGGTAACCGCAACGGTAGGTGGGCCCGAAAAAAAAACGGTCCTACGGACCTAGTTCTCTGAAACCATGTTAGAATCTAGCAGCAGGAATGATTGAACTATGAAAGTATTGGGTACAAATATGAAACCCTAAAAGGGGCTGTACCCCATATTGGCTACCCCACTACAGCCTACACATATATAACATGCATATACTTTGACATAAGGGGGTGGAGAGAAAGAGAGAGAGAGAGAGATTAGGCCCCTCGTTTCCGTCGTCGTCGCTTTCACCGGGCATCCACTGCGGGGGTTAAACCGCAGGCGGGTATCCTACCCAAGGGCCCAGCTGCTGCACGGTTATTGATGCGCTCCCTACACCAACTAGTCTGCATGCAATTAAGGGGGGATGTTAGAATATGGTGTATTCGTATATAATTGCATGTTTTAGCTAGTAGTGTAGGGTCTTGGTGGTATACCCCCCTTTGTCCACCTTTCCTACCTATTTCTTGTAACTCTCTCATATTGTAAACCCCTCTTTTGTTTGGCCAACACCTCTCCTTCCTAGCTCCTAGGGTTTCCATGTCTCCTAAGTTCTAACTACCTCTCTTGACACACCCCCACACTGCTGTTCTCCTTCCCATCCACCATCCCTGTACATCATCCCCCGATGCATCATCACCCCCACCCATCACCCCCATGCATCATCCCCATCACTCCCACGCATCATCATCATCACCCCCCATCATCTGTGCAATCTGCATGGCCAGCCGGGCGGCCGTGTCGCGGCGCACGGCATCAGGGGCATTCTGCAGGCTGCTGCGCACCGATGCCACCTGCAGAAACAGACGCTCCATGCCGTCCATGTCCGCCCTCGCCTCGTCAGCATCCCCGTGGCCAAATGGGTGCACCCCCTCGTGCTTGTCACTGTCAGTGTGAACCCTGGGCACAGCAGCACATCGGGTGTCCTCCTTACTGCTCTCCCCGCTCGAGCCGCACAAGTCATGAGCCGAACCAGTGGCAGCATCCGAACCAGTGGCAGCATCCGAACCAGCGGCAGCATCCGAACCAGCGGCAGCATCCGAACCAGCGGCAGCATCCGAACCAGTGGTGCCTGCATCCGGACTAGCGGCAGCATCCGAACCAGCGGCAGTATCCGAACCAGCGGCAGCATCCGAACCAGCGGCAGCATCCGAACCAGCGGTAGCATCCGAACCAGCGGCAGTATCCGAACCAGCGGCAGTGTTCAATCCATGCACAAACGGCCCGAAATCCTCATCCGCCTCGTTCCCCTCCTCTTTCTCCTTCCGTTCCTCCTCCTTCCCATCACCACCAGCACCAACACCAGCAACAGCACCATCCCAAACAGCATCAGCAGCAGGAGCACTGGGAGCGTCACCAGCAGGCACAGACCCATCGCCGGCAGAATTAGCGCAGGGAGCAGAGGCGAGGGAGGGGTGTGCGGGAGGCGAGTGGGGAATAGCGGGGTCAGGAGCGTCGTCAAGGCGGTGGTAGGGGAAGTGCGTTGGGTCCAAGGAGGCCGGGTCGCTGTCATCGCTGTCGGTGCTGTGGTCTGATGCCGAGGACGAATGCGGTGAGTCGGGTTGGTCTGCGTGGGGGGTGGACACATAGGGAATGTGGGTAGGGGGGTGAGGGGGGCAGCGCAGGGTCAGGGGCATTTTGAAGGCGGTGGTAGGGGAAGTGAGTTGGGTCCAAGGAGGTGGAGTCACTGGCAGTGCTGACATCACTGTCGCTGTCGGTGCTGCTGTCTGATGCAGAGGAAGAATGTGGTGAGTTGGGGTGGCCTGTGTGGTGGGCGGCCGCATTGGGAGGTGGGCAAGGGGAGAGGGGAGAGGGAGGTGAGGGGAGATACGACAAGATAAGGGCGATGCAGGCGTTTCGGTGTAATTGTATACAGCAGACTGAGAAGGACGGATGGCAGCATGCTGGCAAGCAATGACCAACGATCGGGGTCTCGTGCCTGGTGTGGCAAGTCATGTGCTCAGGTGTGGCAAGTCATGTGCTCAGGTTTGGCTATCGTGATGCAGGGGCAAGCAGGGGGAGGTGTTGAGGGGTCGGGCTCGTGTGGGACAGAGTTATCGTATTTAACAGGACGAGAAGGAAGGATGGCGGCATGCGTGGAATGGAATGGAATGAGCAACGATTGGGGTCTGGGGTGTGGTGTGGCAAGACGTGGGTTCAGGTGTGGTGATCATGATGCAGAGGCAAGGAGGGGCAGGTGTTGAATGAAGGGATGACGGGGGTGGGGGCATGGGGGAAAGGAGAGGGAGTGACGAGAGCAGAGCGTGATGCATGCACAATGCTTCGTGGGCCACGAGTGGAAACAATTGTGAATGCACGAGTGTGCACGAGTGAGGGTGCACGAGTGTGCATGTGTCCCTGCTCCTCCTCTCACGGAGGAAGCAGCTGAACGCACCTTCATGTACGTGTGATGCATGGCTGCCCGCCAGTCCCATGAGCTGCGAGAGGCCCTGCATGGGGGCACCCCGCGCCCCCCATTGCGCCTTGAGTGTCAGCCCCGGCCACATGTGTGCGCCCAGGGCTGTGCGGATGCGCTCTATGCCTTGCATTTCGCCATCCGTGCCCAGGGCTGTGGGGAACACACCGGGCGAGCAGGCATGAGGTGTGGGGTGGCAGAAGCCTTCCTGAGGCTGTGCCCAACCAAGCGAAACAGCCCCTGCATGGCCTGCACTGCACGCCCTCTGCCTCAGCGCCCATGCCTACATGGTGCGTCCGTCGCATGGGGCGACTGGCACGGCATGGGATGCCATGACATGACATGACATGACATGACATGACATGACATGAGATGACATGAGTTGGGATGAGATGACTTGAAATGGCATAAGATGACATGACATGTGATGACATGACACTAGATGACGGGGTAACTCGGAGGCACATGGGGATGGGAGGCGGAACACACATGTTGACCTGAACCGAATGCGGAGAAGCTGTGGCATGCAATCGTCGTGACGGTTGAGCGCATCTTGGCTTGGAGTGACCGGGATGTGCTTGGCCTGGCTTGGAGTGACCGGGATGTGCTTGGACTGGCTTGGAACACGTCTGAGAGGCTATTGGTGTGCTTCTCCGTAACCCAACCCCTTCCCGATCAGCCACTCACTCACTCACTCACTCACTCACTCACTCACTCACGCTCTCGCTCACTCACTCGCTTACTCGCTCACTCGCTGACTCACTCCTCACTCTAGGCCCACCCACTCACCAGCATCTATGGCTTCGTGGGCAGCACATGCTTCCACATACTCAATGCCATTGTCCGCACACCACTCCTCGCACTGCCGCCGCCTCACCTCCCCCTCCTCCCCTCCACCTCCCTCCCCTACCCCCTCGCTGCTCCACTCCCTCTCCGCTTCCCCCGCCACCACCAATTCCCCCGCTTCTGCCTTCTCTCCCTCCCCCTCCCCCGCGTCCTCCTCCTCCCCCCTGCCTGCGCCCAGCAGCATGGCGCCATCAAAGTCACTCTGCTCCTCCCCGTCTCTCCCCCCTCCTCTCTGCCGCCCACGCCTGCTTCTCTCACCCGCACTGCCCCCTCGCCCCACCCGGTCTGCCTTGTTGCCGACACACAGGCGGATCTCAAAGCGACTCAGGTCCGCCTTGTCTGCCCACCGCTGCACTGCTGTGAATGACAAGGGCTGGCACGGAGCCAGGGAGGAGGGGAGGTTGGGAGGGCGGTGGGTGGGTGCTAAGAGAAACAACACAATGGGTAGGGAAAGTGAGCGTGGTTGGCAACTTGGCAGCACCCGCGTGCCACCTCTGCACTACCTCGAACCACGCCAGCTGGCAGGGGAGCGGGGGGAGAGGAGGGTGGGAGGGCGGGAGGGTGGGGGGTGGATTTGAAGGACTGGGAAGGTGAGCGTGATTGGCTGAAAAAGCCCACTCCTGCACTGCTGTGAATGCTGCGGGCTAGCACACGGGAGAGAGGAAGGAGAAGAGGGGGCATGGGGGAAAGAGGGCGGCGCGGGGGGTTGGACGGAAAAGGGAGGGTGGGGGTTGTGGGGAACAGGGAATAATGCTGGTCACGGGAAGAATTTGAGGCAGGACGGCAGAGAGGAAATGGAAGCAGTGGATGGTAGAGGGAAGAGAATGGAAGCAGTGGATGGTAGAGGGAAGAGAATGGAAGCAGTGGATGGTAGAGGGAAGAGAATGGAAGCAGTGGATGGTAGAGGGAAGAGAATGGAAGCAGTGGATGGTAGAGGGAAGAGAATGGAAGCAGTGGATGGTAGAGGGAAGAGAATGGAAGCAGTGGATGGTAGAGGGAAGAGAATGGAAGCAGTGGATGGTAGAGGGAAGAGAATGGAAGCAGTGGATGGTAGAGGGAAGAGAATGGAAGCAGTGGATGGTAGAGGGAAGAGAATGGAAGCAGTGGATGGTAGAGGGAAGAGAATGGAAGCAGTGGATGGTAGAAGGAAGAGAATGGAAGCAGTGGATGGTAGAGGGAAGAGAATGGAAGCAGTGGATGGTAGAGGGAAGAGAATGGAAGCAGTGGATGGTAGAGGGAAGAGAATGGAAGCAGTGGATGGTAGAGGGAAGAGAATGGAGGCAGTGGATGGTAGAGGGAAGAGAATGGAAGCAGTGGATGGTAGAGGGAAGAGAATGGAAGCAGTGGATGGTAGAGGGAAGAGAATGGAAGCAGTGGATGGTAGAGGGAAGAGAATGGAAGCAGTGGATGGTAGAGGGAAGAGAATGGAAGCAGTGGATGGTAGAGGGAAGAGAATGGAAGCAGTGGATGGTAGAGGGAAGAGAATGGAAGCAGTGGATGGTAGAGGGAAGAGAATGGAAGCAGTGGATGGTAGAGGGAAGAGAATGGAAGCAGTGGATGGTAGAGGGAAGAGAATGGAAGCAGTGGATGGTAGAGGGAAGAGAATGGAAGCAGTGGATGGTAGAGGGAAGAGAATGGAAGCAGTGGATGGTAGAGGGAAGAGAATGGAAGCAGTGGATGGTAGAGGGAAGAGAATGGAAGCAGTGGATGGTAGAGGGAAGAGAATGGAAGCAGTGGATGGTAGAGGGAAGAGAATGGAAGCAGTGGATGGTAGAGGGAAGAGAATGGAAGCAGTGGATGGTAGATGGAAGAGAATGGAAGCAGTGGATGGTAGAGGGAAGAGAATGGAAGCAGTGGATGGTAGAGGGAAGAGTATGGAAGCAGTGGATGGTAGAGGGAAGAGAATGGAAGCAGTGGATGGTAGAGGGAAGAGAATGGAAGCAGTGGATGGTAGAGGGAAGAGAATGGAAGCAGTGGATGGTAGAGGGAAGAGAATGGAAGCAGTGGATGGTAGAGGGAAGAGAATGGAAGCAGTGGATGGTAGAGGGAAGAGAATGGAAGCAGTGGATGGTAGAGGGAAGAGAATGGAAGCAGTGGATGGTAGAGGGAAGAGAATGGAAGCAGTGGATGGTAGAGGGAAGAGAATGGAAGCAGTGGATGGTAGAGGGAAGAGAATGGAAGCAGTGGATGGTAGAGGGAAGAGAATGGAAGCAGTGGATGGTAGAGGGAAGAGAATGGAAGCAGTGGATGGTAGAGGGAAGAGAATGGAAGCAGTGGATGGTAGAGGGAAGAGAATGGAAGCAGTGGATGGTAGAGGGAAGAGAATGGAAGCAGTGGATGGTAGAGGGAAGAGAATGGAAGCAGTGGATGGTAGAGGGAAGAGAATGGAAGCAGTGGATGGTAGAGGGAAGAGAATGGAAGCAGTGGATGGTAGAGGGAAGAGAATGGAAGCAGTGGATGGTAGAGGGAAGAGAATGGAAGCAGTGGATGGTAGAGGGAAGAGAATGGAAGCAGTGGATGGTAGAGGGAAGAGAATGGAAGCAGTGGATGGTAGAGGGAAGAGAATGGAAGCAGTGGATGGTAGAGGGAAGAGAATGGAAGCAGTGGATGGTAGAGGGAAGAGAATGGAAGCAGTGGATGGTAGAGGGAAGAGAATGGAAGCAGTGGATGGTAGAGGGAAGAGAATGGAAGCAGTGGATGGTAGAGGGAAGAGAATGGAAGCAGTGGATGGTAGAGGGAAGAGAATGGAAGCAGTGGATGGTAGAGGGAAGAGAATGGAAGCAGTGGATGGTAGAGGGAAGAGAATGGAAGCAGTGGATGGTAGAGGGAAGAGAATGGAAGCAGTGGATGGTAGAGGGAAGAGAATGGAAGCAGTGGATGGTAGAGGGAAGAGAATGGAAGCAGTGGATGGTAGAGGGAAGAGAATGGAAGCAGTGGATGGTAGAGGGAAGAGAATGGAAGCAGTGGATGGTAGAGGGAAGAGAATGGAAGCAGTGGATGGTAGAGGGAAGAGAATGGAAGCAGTGGATGGTAGAGGGAAGAGAATGGAAGCAGTGGATGGTAGAGGGAAGAGAATGGAAGCAGTGGATGGTAGAGGGAAGAGAATGGAAGCAGTGGATGGTAGAGGGAAGAGAATGGAAGCAGTGGATGGTAGAGGGAAGAGAATGGAAGCAGTGGATGGTAGAGGGAAGAGAATGGAAGCAGTGGATGGTAGAGGGAAGAGAATGGAAGCAGTGGATGGTAGAGGGAAGAGAATGGAAGCAGTGGATGGTAGAGGGAAGAGAATGGAAGCAGTGGATGGTAGAGGGAAGAGAATGGAAGCAGTGGATGGTAGAGGGAAGAGAATGGAAGCAGTGGATGGTAGAGGGAAGAGAATGGAAGCAGTGGATGGTAGAGGGAAGAGAATGGAAGCAGTGGATGGTAGAGGGAAGAGAATGGAAGCAGTGGATGGTAGAGGGAAGAGAATGGAAGCAGTGGATGGTAGAGGGAAGAGAATGGAAGCAGTGGATGGTAGAGGGAAGAGAATGGAAGCAGTGGATGGTAGAGGGAAGAGAATGGAAGCAGTGGATGGTAGAGGGAAGAGAATGGAAGCAGTGGATGGTAGAGGGAAGAGAATGGAAGCAGTGGATGGTAGAGGGAAGAGAATGGAAGCAGTGGATGGTAGAGGGAAGAGAATGGAAGCAGTGGATGGTAGAGGGAAGAGAATGGAAGCAGTGGATGGTAGAGGGAAGAGAATGGAAGCAGTGGATGGTAGAGGGAAGAGAATGGAAGCAGTGGATGGTAGAGGGAAGAGAATGGAAGCAGTGGATGGTAGAGGGAAGAGAATGGAAGCAGTGGATGGTAGAGGGAAGAGAATGGAAGCAGTGGATGGTAGAGGGAAGAGAATGGAAGCAGTGGATGGTAGAGGGAAGAGAATGGAAGCAGTGGATGGTAGAGGGAAGAGAATGGAAGCAGTGGATGGTAGAGGGAAGAGAATGGAAGCAGTGGATGGTAGAGGGAAGAGAATGGAAGCAGTGGATGGTAGAGGGAAGAGAATGGAAGCAGTGGATGGTAGAGGGAAGAGAATGGAAGCAGTGGATGGTAGAGGGAAGAGAATGGAAGCAGTGGATGGTAGAGGGAAGAGAATGGAAGCAGTGGATGGTAGAGGGAAGAGAATGGAAGCAGTGGATGGTAGAGGGAAGAGAATGGAAGCAGTGGATGGTAGAGGGAAGAGAATGGAAGCAGTGGATGGTAGAGGGAAGAGAATGGAAGCAGTGGATGGTAGAGGGAAGAGAATGGAAGCAGTGGATGGTAGAGGGAAGAGAATGGAAGCAGTGGATGGTAGAGGGAAGAGAATGGAAGCAGTGGATGGTAGAGGGAAGAGAATGGAAGCAGTGGATGGTAGAGGGAAGAGAATGGAAGCAGTGGATGGTAGAGGGAAGAGAATGGAAGCAGTGGATGGTAGAGGGAAGAGAATGAAAGCAGTGGATGGTAGAGGGAAGAGAATGGAAGCAGTGGATGGTAGAGGGAAGAGAATGGAAGCAGTGGATGGTAGAGGGAAGAGAATGGAAGCAGTGGATGGTAGAGGGAAGAGAATGGAAGCAGTGGATGGTAGAGGGAAGAGAATGGAAGCAGTGGATGGTAGAGGGAAGAGAATGGAAGCAGTGGATGGTAGAGGGAAGAGAATGGAAGCAGTGGATGGTAGAGGGAAGAGAATGGAAGCAGTGGATGGTAGAGGGAAGAGAATGGAAGCAGTGGATGGTAGAGGGAAGAGAATGGAAGCAGTGGATGGTAGAGGGAAGAGAATGGAAGCAGTGGATGGTAGAGGGAAGAGAATGGAGGCAGTGGATGGTAGAGGGAAGAGAATGGGCCCACGACAGCACCACCCCTCACCCAGCACCACCCCTCACCCAGCACCACCCCTCACCCAGCACCACCCCTCACCCAGCACCACCCCTCACCACCCCTCACCCAGCACCACCCCTCACCCAGCACCACCCCTCACCCAGCACCACCCCTCACCCAGCACCACCCCTCACCCAGCACCACCCCTCACCCAGCACCACCCCTCGCCCAGCACCACCCCCACCCACATACTTCTCACGCGCACGCACATTGGAGAGGTCGAAGACGAGCAGCAGCGCCTCGGCACATCTCACAAGGGGCGAGGCCTGGGGCGGCAGTGACGAGCCTAGTGCCAACACATAAAAGAGCCCATTTTCAGCCCTAATGTACTGAGGCACAACCCAACTCCCCACGTGCACACACATTGGAGAGGTGGAACACGAGCAGCAGCGCCTCAGCGCTGTTCATAAGGGGTGAGGCCTGGGGCGGCAGTGACTAGTGAGCAGGCAACTGCCTACTGCCAGCCTATTGGAAAGCCAATTTGCAGCTCAACCTACGGAGGCCCCGGGCTCACATTGGAGAGGTCGAAGACGAGCAGCAGCGCCTCAGCGCCCGTGACGAGGGGCGAGGCGGGGCCGGTGGTGGTGCCGCAGGGCAGCACAGAGGAGAGGCGCGCCGTCCACACGGCCACTGCTGCCGTGTAGTACTTGGTGTCCACCTGCCAGCTGGGGGAGGGGAGGGCGGAAGGCAGGGGGTGGGCAACACGGCCACTGCTGCCGTGCCGTGTAGTACTTGGTGTCCACGTGCCAGCTGATGAGGGAGGGAGGAAGGGAATTCTTGTGGATAAGAGGGGGCGTTGGGGGGATTCCTGAGCCCTGTAGCACTCTGTGTCCACGTGCCAGTTGTGAGGGGGAACGGGAGAGGGGTGGCGGAGGAAGGAGAGGGGCCGGGGGATTCGTGAGCACGTGGCATGTGTGAAAGGAGGGAAGAGGAATGAGGAGGGATGGGGTTGTTGGCGAAGCTCTTGAGCTGTGAGAGGGATGAGGGAGGGGAGCCCTCAGTGTGAGAGGGATGAGGGAGGCGAGCTGTGTACTTCTTGGTGTGAACTGCAGTCCAGATAGCCTCCGGAAAAGGTCCAGACATGCAGAGTCATGCGGGTGTGGTGTGGCGCACAGAGTCATGCGGGTGTGGTGTGGCGCACAGAGTCATGCGGGTGTGGTGTGGCGCACAGAGTCATGCGGGTGTGGTGTGGCGCACAGAGTCATGCGGGTGTGGTGTGGCGCACAGAGTCATGCGGGTGTGGTGTGGCGCACAGAGTCATGCGGGTGTGGTGTGGCGCACAGAGTCATGCGGGTGTGGTGTGGCGCACAGAGTCATGCGGGTGTGGTGTGGCGCACAGAGTCATGCGGGTGTGGTGTGGCGCACAGAGTCATGCGGGTGTGGTGTGGCGCACAGAGTCATGCGGGTGTGGTGTGGCGCACAGAGTCATGCGGGTGTGGTGTGGCGCACAGAGTCATGCGGGTGTGGTGTGGCGCACAGAGTCATGCGGGTGTGGTGTGGCGCACAGAGTCATGCGGGTGTGGTGTGGCGCACAGAGTCATGCGGGTGTGGTGTGGCGCACAGAGTCATGCGGGTGTGGTGTGGCGCACAGAGTCATGCGGGTGTGGTGTGGCGCACAGAGTCATGCGGGTGTGGTGTGGCGCACAGAGTCATGCGGGTGTGGTGTGGCGCACAGAGTCATGCGGGTGTGGTGTGGCGCACAGAGTCATGCGGGTGTGGTGTGGCGCACAGAGTCATGCGGGTGTGGTGTGGCGCACAGAGTCATGCGGGTGTGGTGTGGCGCACAGAGTCATGCGGGTGTGGTGTGGCGCACAGAGTCATGCGGGTGTGGTGTGGCGCACAGAGTCATGCGGGTGTGGTGTGGCGCACAGAGTCATGCGGGTGTGGTGTGGCGCACAGAGTCATGCGGGTGTGGTGTGGCGCACAGAGTCATGCGGGTGTGGTGTGGCGCACAGAGTCATGCGGGTGTGGTGTGGCGCACAGAGTCATGCGGGTGTGGTGTGGCGCACAGAGTCGTGCGGGTGTGGTGTGGCGCACAGAGTCATGCGGGTGTGGTGTGGCGCACAGAGTCGTGCGGGTGTGGTGTGGCGCACAGAGTCATGCGGGTGTGGTGTGGCGCACAGAGTCATGCGGGTGTGGTGTGGCGCACAGAGTCATGCAGGTGTGGTGTGGCGCACAGAGTCGTGCGGGTGTGGTGTGGCGCACAGAGTCATGCGAGTGTGGTGTGGCGCACAGAGTCGTGCGGGTGTGGTGTGGCGCACAGAGTCATGCGGGTGTGGTGTGGCGCACAGAGTCATGCGGGTGTGGTGTGGCGCACAGAGTCATGCGGGTGTGGTGTGGCGCACAGAGTCATGCGGGTGTGGTGTGGCGCACAGAGTCATGCGGGTGTGGTGTGGCGCACAGAGTCATGCGGGTGTGGTGTGGCGCACAGAGTCATGCGGGTGTGGTTTGGCGCACAGAGTCATGCGGGTGTGGTGTGGCGCACAGAGTCATGCGGGTGTGGTGTGGCGCACAGAGTCATGCAGGTGTGGTGTGGCGCACAGAGTCGTGCGGGTGTGGTGTGGCGCACAGAGTCATGCGGGTGTGGTGTGGCGCACAGAGTCGTGCGGGTGTGGTGTGGCGCACAGAGTCATGCGGGTGTGGTGTGGCGCACAGAGTCATGCGGGTGTGGTGTGGCGCACAGAGTCATGCGGGTGTGGTGTGGCGCACAGAGTCATGCGGGTGTGGTGTGGCGCACAGAGTCATGCGGGTGTGGTGTGGCGCACAGAGTCATGCGGGTGTGGTGTGGCGCACAGAGTCATGCGGGTGTGGTGTGGCGCACAGAGTCATGCGGGTGTGGTGTGGCGCACAGAGTCATGCGGGTGTGGTGTGGCGCACAGAGTCATGCGGGTGTGGTGTGGCGCACAGAGTCATGCGGGTGTGGTGTGGCGCACAGAGTCATGCGGGTGTGGTGTGGCGCACAGAGTCATGCGGGTGTGGTGTGGCGCACAGAGTCGTGCGGGTGTGGTGTGGCGCACAGAGTCATGCGGGTGTGGTGTGGCGCACAGAGTCGTGCGGGTGTGGTGTGGCGCACAGAGTCATGCGGGTGTGGTGTGGCGCACAGAGTCATGCGGGTGTGGTGTGGCGCACAGAGTCATGCAGGTGTGGTGTGGCGCACAGAGTCGTGCGGGTGTGGTGTGGCGCACAGAGTCATGCGGGTGTGGTGTGGCGCACAGAGTCGTGCGGGTGTGGTGTGGCGCACAGAGTCATGCGGGTGTGGTGTGGCGCACAGAGTCATGCGGGTGTGGTGTGGCGCACAGAGTCATGCGGGTGTGGTGTGGCGCACAGAGTCATGCGGGTGTGGTGTGGCGCACAGAGTCATGCGGGTGTGGTGTGGCGCACAGAGTCATGCGGGTGTGGTGTGGCGCACAGAGTCATGCGGGTGTGGTGTGGCGCACAGAGTCATGCGGGTGTGGTGTGGCGCACAGAGTCATGCGGGTGTGGTGTGGCGCACAGAGTCATGCGGGTGTGGTGTGGCGCACAGAGTCATGCGGGTGTGGTGTGGCGCACAGAGTCATGCGGGTGTGGTGTGGCGCACAGAGTCATGCGGGTGTGGTGTGGCGCACAGAGTCATGCGGGTGTGGTGTGGCGCACAGAGTCATGCGGGTGTGGTGTGGCGCACAGAGTCATGCGGGTGTGGTGTGGCGCACAGAGTCATGCGGGTGTGGTGTGGCGCACAGAGTCATGCGGGTGTGGTGTGGCGCACAGAGTCATGCGGGTGTGGTGTGGCGCACAGAGTCATGCGGGTGTGGTGTGGCGCACAGAGTCATGCGGGTGTGGTGTGGCGCACAGAGTCATGCGGGTGTGGTGTGGCGCACAGAGTCATGCGGGTGTGGTGTGGCGCACAGAGTCATGCGGGTGTGGTGTGGCGCACAGAGTCATGCGGGTGTGGTGTGGCGCACAGAGTCATGCGGGTGTGGTGTGGCGCACAGAGTCATGCGGGTGTGGTGTGGCGCACAGAGTCATGCGGGTGTGGTGTGGCGCACAGAGTCATGCGGGTGTGGTGTGGCGCACAGAGTCATGCGGGTGTGGTGTGGCGCACAGAGTCATGCGGGTGTGGTGTGGCGCACAGAGTCATGCGGGTGTGGTGTGGCGCACAGAGTCATGCGGGTGTGGTGTGGCGCACAGAGTCATGCGGGTGTGGTGTGGCGCACAGAGTCGTGCGGGTGTGGTGTGGCGCACAGAGTCATGCGGGTGTGGTGTGGCGCACAGAGTCGTGCGGGTGTGGTGTGGCGCACAGAGTCATGCGGGTGTGGTGTGGCGCACAGAGTCATGCGGGTGTGGTGTGGCGCACAGAGTCATGCAGGTGTGGTGTGGCGCACAGAGTCGTGCGGGTGTGGTGTGGCGCACAGAGTCATGCGGGTGTGGTGTGGCGCACAGAGTCATGCGGGTGTGGTGTGGCGCACAGAGTCATGCGGGTGTGGTGTGGCGCACAGAGTCATGCAGGTGTGGTGTGGCGCACAGAGTCGTGCGGGTGTGGTGTGGCGCACAGAGTCATGCGGGTGTGGTGTGGCGCACAGAGTCGTGCGGGTGTGGTGTGGCGCACAGAGTCATGCGGGTGTGGTGTGGCGCACAGAGTCATGCGGGTGTGGTGTGGCGCACAGAGTCATGCGGGTGTGGTGTGGCGCACAGAGTCATGCGGGTGTGGTGTGGCGCACAGAGTCATGCGGGTGTGGTGTGGCGCACAGAGTCATGCGGGTGTGGTGTGGCGCACAGAGTCATGCGGGTGTGGTGTGGCGCACAGAGTCATGCGGGTGTGGTGTGGCGCACAGAGTCATGCGGGTGTGGTGTGGCGCACAGAGTCATGCGGGTGTGGTGTGGCGCACAGAGTCATGCGGGTGTGGTGTGGCGCACAGAGTCATGCGGGTGTGGTGTGGCGCACAGAGTCATGCGGGTGTGGTGTGGCGCACAGAGTCATGCGGGTGTGGTGTGGCGCACAGAGTCATGCGGGTGTGGTGTGGCGCACAGAGTCATGCGGGTGTGGTGTGGCGCACAGAGTCATGCGGGTGTGGTGTGGCGCACAGAGTCATGCGGGTGTGGTGTGGCGCACAGAGTCATGCGGGTGTGGTGTGGCGCACAGAGTCGTGCGGGTGTGGTGTGGCGCACAGAGTCATGCGGGTGTGGTGTGGCGCACAGAGTCGTGCGGGTGTGGTGTGGCGCACAGAGTCATGCGGGTGTGGTGTGGCGCACAGAGTCATGCGGGTGTGGTGTGGCGCACAGAGTCATGCAGGTGTGGTGTGGCGCACAGAGTCGTGCGGGTGTGGTGTGGCGCACAGAGTCATGCGGGTGTGGTGTGGCGCACAGAGTCGTGCGGGTGTGGTGTGGCGCACAGAGTCATGCGGGTGTGGTGTGGCGCACAGAGTCATGCGGGTGTGGTGTGGCGCACAGAGTCATGCGGGTGTGGTGTGGCGCACAGAGTCATGCGGGTGTGGTGTGGCGCACAGAGTCATGCGGGTGTGGTGTGGTGTGGCGCACATGGCGCACATGGCGCACATGGCGTGCAAGGTCAAGAGCACAAGTGGAATGAGCAGCGCCCCCCTCCTCCTCCTCCCTCGTGCCTCTTTGAAGCTTTGAAGCAAGCGCTCGAACAGCGGCCCACCTCGACTCGACTCGGCCCCCTACCGCCCTTGCGCCCACCTGAAACACTCTCCTGCAGCCGTGTTGGAGCCGCTGCTGCTGTACTCGTGGGGGTGTGCCGCTGTGAGCCCTGCAGCGCCACCAGTGGAAAGGGGTGAAGGCGGGTGAGAAGGGGGATGAGTGGTCGGGTGGGGGAGATGGAGAGCTATGGGAGATGGAGAGGTATGGGAGATGGAGAGGTATGGGAGATGGAGATGAATGGGAGATGGAGATGTATGGGAGATGGAGATGTATGGGAGATGGAGATGTATGGGAGATGGAGAGCTATGGGAGATGGAGAGGTATGGGAGATGGAGAGGTATGGGAGATGGAGATGAATGGGAGATGGAGATGTATGGGAGATGGAGAGGTATGGGAGATGGAGATGTATGGGAGATGGAGATGTATGGGAGATGGAGATGTATGGGAGATGGAGAGCTATGGGAGAATGAATCGGGAAAAGGAATGGGAAGAAGGAATGGGGAGTGGGAAATGGGGAGACGAACTGGGGAGAGAGAATGGAAATGGGCCACAAGGAATCAGAAAGCTGATCATGGTGAAGGGCGAACGCAGCAGGGATGGGGAGAGGAGCAGGGAGGGCGGAGCAGGGAGGGCGGAGCAGGGAGGGCGGAGCAGGGAGGGCGGAATGGGTGCAGGGAGAGGGATGATGAGAGAGGGGAGAAGCGGAGGGAGGGGAGGCAGAAGAGAGTGGGGAGGGAAGGCATACGGTGTGCGAGGGTGGTTTTGCCGACAGAGGGAGAGCCCAGAACCAACACGCGGGGACGACTTGCCACGTCATCAGGCACAGGTGGATGATTCGCCACGTCATCGTGGGGTGCCATGGCTGCAGCACGAGAGGAGAGAGGCGTGAGGAAAGAGGGGGAGAGAGACGTGAGGAAAGAGGGGGAGAGAGACGTGAGGAAAGAGGGGGAGAGAGACGTGAGGAAAGAGGGGGAGAGAGACGTGAGGAAAGAGGGGGAGAGAGACGTGAGGAAAGAGGGGGAGAGAGACGTGAGGAAAGAGGGGGAGAGAGACGTGAGGAAAGAGGGGGAGAGAGATGTGAGGAAGAGGGGGAGAGAGACGTGAGGAAAGAGGGGGAGAGAGACGTGAGGAAAGAGGGGGAGAGAGACGTGAGGAAAGAGGGGGAGAGAGACGTGAGGAAAGAGGGGGAGAGAGACGTGAGGAAAGAGGGGGAGAGAGACGTGAGGAAAGAGGGGGAGAGAGACGTGAGGAAAGAGGGGGAGAGAGACGTGAGGAAAGAGGGGGAGAGAGACGTGAGGAAAGAGGGGGAGAGAGACGTGAGGAAAGAGGGGGAGAGAGACGTGAGGAAAGAGGGGGAGAGAGACGTGAGGAAAGAGGGGGAGAGAGACGTGAGGAAAGAGGGGGAGAGAGACGTGAGGAAAGAGGGGGAGAGAGACGTGAGGAAAGAGGGGGAGAGAGACGTGAGGAAAGAGGGGGAGAGAGACGTGAGGAAAGAGGGGGAGAGAGACGTGAGGAAAGAGGGGGAGAGAGGCGTGAAGGGAGACATAGAGGGCACGAGGTGAGTGGCGTAGCAAGGCACGTGGCACGTGGTGCGTGCCAAGCCAAGGCATCACATCAGCCCAGCACGAGGGGCGGTTGCTGGCAAGGAACGTCTTTCCTCATTCTCACTCTCGCCAGCAACCCCCCCCCCCTGGTTTCACCCCTTCCCCTCTCATGCACAACGCTTACTGCACTCCTCTTCTCCTCCTCTCCTCAACAATCCCCTCCTTATCCCCATGCTTGATCCTGCTTCCGTTCTCTCCTACTCGCACCCCTCATCCCTCTCACTTTAACTTCGGATCCTAACCGTCCCCTTTCACCCCGTCACCACCTCAACCGTAGATCTTCTCCTCACCCGCCTCCCCTCACCCGCCTCCCCTCACCCGCCCACCCTCACCCCCCCACCCTCACCCGCCCACCTCACCCGCCCACCCTCACCCGCCCACCCTCACCCGCCCACCCTCACCCGCCCACCCTCACCCGCCCACCCTCACCCGCCCACCCTCACCCCCCCACCCTCACCCGCCCACCCTCACCCGCCCACCCTCACCCGCCCACCCTCACCCGCCCACCCTCACCCGCCCACGCTATTCCTCACGGAGAGGGATGAAAAGGAGGGAGGCAGTGAGTGGAGAATAAGGGGCGGGGAGAGAGGCAGGCTGGGGGGACGAAGAGAGGAAGACGGGGGAAGCGAGAGCCAGGGGGATAGCGGGATAGCAGGACAGCGGGGGCGCGGCGACGAGGGTCGCGCGGGGCACGCGCGGCGCGAGCGGAGTGTGGCAGGGCGACTCGCCCTTTGAAGGGGCGGAAGCAGTGGGGAACGGCGCGTGTGCAAGACGGGTGGAATTGCACGAGAGCGCGGGGAAGAGGACGGACGAAAGGGCCTGCGGCTGGAGGGGCGAGGGAGTGGAACGCGGGGGGCCGGGGCGTGAGGGGCGGGGGGCGCGCGCTCCGTGCGTACCTGGAATGGCGAGAGATGCGGAACGCGACGAATGCGGGAAGAGTGGCGCGAGCGAGCAACGACAGCAGCGCGAAGCACCGTGTGGCGCGCGGCTATTTCCCAGTGCGCTAGTCTCTGGTTGTAACTAGCACGGTCACAAAAGAATCACTCGCATCGCATTTTATCGAAGATGTGCCAGACCACTGGCACTATTTCGCGAAAGAGGAATCTGTCGAAATTCACAGGTACTTTTCCAAGCTAAGGAAATGAAGAATCTTAAAGCCCGCGCCAACAATGACAAGGCTTCAAAATTACTGAACTTGACAGGTGTTGGGCGAAGGTTGACGATAGGAGAATACGCAAGAGACAGGTGGCGAAGGCGGAATGCTAAACACTGTTTCGCATTGTACTACACTGTTATGAGTTGTCCTAAAAGAGTGCGCGGAAGACTTCTATAAAGAGACTATGATAACCGCATCCCGAGAATGATAGAGAAGCATGGATTTATAGGGTCAAACCGGCCTAGGTGAGGACCTCGGGACGTGTCGCGATTGGTGCGGGGCGACTCGGAAAGTGGTTCGGGCCGAAGTGTAGGCCGAACCCAAACTGACGCGAAGTTCGGGCTGTCCTCCCTAGGAGCAGCCTCTACAGTAATGAATGTATATTCATTACACTCTCCCACCTTCTAGATAAGGTCCCCTTATATGTAGACGAGTCTTGCAGTAGCGTGAAAACTGCAGATCTCGGTCGAAACTGATCTGACGGTGCGGAAGCACGTTGACTTTCGAGTTGACGCGTGGCTGACTAGTTGACCAGGCGAAGTTGAATAGAGTTGGAATGTCAGCAGTCGAATTTCCCAGATGTCGATCTGACGATTGCGATCGAAGTGGCGAACTGAATACGCGATTGAATTTCAGTCGTAGATGTAGTCGTTGCGAATCGGACGGTAGTAACGCTGGCGAAGTCTGACACGATGTCAGATGTCGGTGAAGTTGTAGCCGTTGATGTCGATGATTCATCGCGAGCATCGGTCGTGCTCGATGTGTCAGACGAAACTGTCAGAAAAATCTGACAAGTACAGTGCGAGAGCACTTTCTCTCCCCCCGTCGAAGAAGGATTGCCACCCCAAAATCTCCGCGTGGCAGCATCGAATCACCCTGCTGCTGCAGTATCTCCAGTTGTCAGCATCTGCTAACCTGAATTACTGTCGTTTGTCGTGTTGCGGTGACGAAAATCCCCGCTGTAGCGTCTCCAGCTGTCGGCGCCCCTGGCAGTCTTGTCCAGACTCGCCGAGGCTTTTGTCGCTATGTTCCGAAAACTCCCGGGCAGAGGCGAAAAACAGCTGCTGCTCTTCCCCCTGACCTCGCAAATATTTTTTCAAAGTTGAACTCGAACTGCCGATGACGTCAGCTGCACTGTCGGTGTTGTCGTGACTCGCCGAAAATTCCGGCGAGAAACAGATGTCGTCCCTTCCCTCCACCTGGTGCAAATTTCGCCGGTGATGTCGCTGGTACCCCCGAACGGAGTCGGAATTAACTGCCAATCTTGTTCCCGTCGGTTTTGCGCGCTTAACCAAGCGCCTCTGCATCCCCGCCGTTTCGCACGGAACCGTCGACCGTTGCTGCCGAACTCCGTTAAGAACCAGCTCCCCAGTACTACATCTGAAATTCGTAAGTGTCGGTGTTGAGAATCCTCGTACGTCTTGGTCACCTGCAGGTTGTCCTCCGAACGAGCCGGTGTATCTAGCGTGCCCACCCGTCGCCACTATCATCGCCTGTGGTTAACCACACGAGCAACCCACCCAAAAGGGAGGCGCTTTTCCGTGTGGAACCCAGAACTGTGGGTCTACCGGGACCGAGTTTCACGGAACCTAGCCCGCATCGACGCTGCAGATCTCGCCGTAGAATTTCCTCATATGGCTTCGAAGTACACCGTAAAACGCTTAAAACAGCTGGCGAGCAGACGTTCACCCGTCTCCCACAGCGGAAATTGCACCCGAAAATTATGGTTGCGGCAACAAGCCCCGAAGTATTTTTTGCAGTGTAGCCCCGACGTTTCCGCCCTTAACCATGGTACTCCGACGTTCACCCATCCTCGTATCCGTCGAAAATACTTAGCAAATCCCAGGTATCCTTGGCAATACACCCCTCGTCGTGCCTCCATGTGTGAGATTTCCGACCCTTTCGGCGCCCACCGAGTAGACTCCGAAATTCACGGTGGAGTGGTGTACGAGCTCAACCTATCACTCAAGAAGCTTGGAGAGGCACCCACAACTTTCCCTCCGATTTTGTTTTTGTCTTCACCCCCCGACAATTTCGCTTGCCGCCGTTCACCCAGCGTCCGCTTTTGTCGGGTGAGGTATTCTCCGTGTTGACCCGCGATTTTTCCGGCGTTCGATGAAGGCGCAAACGCAATCGTAGCCGGGGTGAGTTTATCGTATCAAACGCCCGCCCGGCCGCTTTGCTGCCCACCGTGCCTATCGCCTTTTAAAACTCCGCAACTTCGGGAGCTCCATCTTCGCTGCTACACCTTCGTCGGGTAGACCGTTGAATCAGGAGAAACCCTGCCAGCTGCCATAACTTCCTCAACCCCGACTTTTTCGGCGGAGTACTGTTGCCGATGATCCGTTTTTTGTCGGGGCCGAAACAAATTCGCATGAGATTTTCTTGAACGCCCTGCTGTCGAACCAGCGCGCCACCCACGCCTTTCTAACCAGCACAGGGCTAAAACACAGGGCCCCACCTTTTTATCCAGTGGCCAACCGGACTTACGTGTCGCCTTCGAGGCCTTCTGGTGTGAGGTACGTAAAACGTCGGTAGACTTTGGCCGGTAGGGAGCTCCTTCTGCTACCGCCGCTTAGCCGTGAAACTCGGCCTCAGCAAAAAGTCGTCGCAGTAGGTCGTTTTCTCCCCTCCTGAAGCTCGGAATCCGTTTCTCTCGCCAGACCCGTATTTGTCGCAGCTCCGTTTATTGTAGCCGGTAGACCAGGCAAAATTCGCGTGTCTAGACGCTGCGCCAAACCGTTGTCCCGTCGGTGTACTGCCCTGTCTGCGGCGCAATTTCCCTTGATCAGGGGGAAACTGTGTCGCCTGAAGTACAGTGTCGGCTGCTGCTGTTGCTCCGAAATGTTCTGCCGACTTTGTTGCAGGCGCAGAAGTGACCCTAACGCGAACAGTCTAGTCGTAGGCGGCCTTTTCCGAACTTTTCGGTGGTTTGAAAATAACTTCCGTCCTACACTGTGCCGCTCCTGCCGAAAAACGCCCACGACGCACCCTCCTGCAGCAACACTTGCCGCACCCGGGCGGGACGACGGCAGACCCCCGCTTTCTTCGGGCAGTCGCCACGCCGCCTCTCCTCGACGCCACTTGCTGCGTGCAGTCCACTCCAAAATTGTCGTGCGCAGTTGACGAACACGTGCCGACGCCAACTCGCATCACGTCTTGCTTCCGACATCTTCGGACGTGCACTGACGGAGATCCTGTCGACGTCAGCTGCCACACAAATTAACTCCGAAAATGCCGAAACTTATACTGTTAACTCACGCAGTTAATGCGACGACAGCAAAAGTTGTCCGCCACCCGGGGGGGGGGGGAGGCCACGGTCGATCTTGACCGTCGAGGGCAAGGATCCGTCGGTGCAGCAGGAGCGTCAGTAAAAAACATGGCCGCTAGGAGCAACTACCCGTTCTCCTGGCCGGCTACTGCGTTGCTCCTGTCACCACGACATCCTTCCCTATCCCCCCCCCCCCGAGGGGTAATCCACTCAAAACAACGGGTGTCCTTGGAAAGTAGCTCTGATACCAAGTGTTATGAGTTGTCCTAAAAGAGTGCGCGGAAGACTTCTATAAAGAGACTGTGATTACCGCATCCCGAGAATGATAAAGAAGCATGCATTTATAGGGTCGAAACCGGGCTAGGCGAGGACCTCGGGACGTGGATGTCAGAATACAGGAGTAGAAAGTTTAGAAACAAGAAAGAGGGGTTTCACTAGCAGCAGTTGGGATACATATAGCAAACCCTAACTGGGTTGTACTCGCCATAGAGCACCCCACTACATGCTAGATAATA